AAAAAGTGCGAAAATTCCCGGAAAAAATAACGGAATCGGAATTTCCTGGTAATATGCACATCTACACATTGTGTCCTAAATACCTGCAAAGTTTGACGAAATTCTGTGCAGCAGTTTATTAGGAGTTGCGCTGACAAACTGTTCATCCCTATATTCAAGTTATGGCCAAATGCCTAAGTTAAAAAGTGCGAAAATTCCCGGAAAAATAAAGGAATCGGAATTTCCTGGTAATATGCACATCTACACATTGTGTCCTAAATACCTGCAAAGTTTGACGAAATTCTGTGCAGCGGTTTATGAGGAGTTGCGCTGACAAACTGTTCATCCCTATATTCAAGGTATGGCCAAATGCCTAAGTTAAAAAGTGCGGAAATTCCCGGAAAAAATAACGGAATCGAAATTTCCTGGTAATATGCACATCTACACATTGTGTCCTAAATACCTGTAAAGTTTGACGAAATTCTGTGCAGCGGTTTATGAGGAGTTGCACTGACAAACTGTTCATCCCTATATTCAAGGTATGGCCAAATGCCTAAGTTAAAAAGTGCGGAAATTCCCGGAAAAAATAACGGAAAAATAACGGAATCGGAATTTCCTGGTAATATGCACATCTACACATTGTGTCCTAAATACCTGCAAAGTTTGACGAAATTCTGTGCAGCAGTTTATGATGAGTTGTGCTGACAAACTGTTCATCTCTATATTCAAGGTATGGCCAAATGCCTAAGTTAAAAAGTGCGGAAATTCCCGGAAAAAATAATGGAATCGGAATTTCCTGGTAATATGCACATCTACACATTGTGTCCTAAATACCTGCAAAGTTTGACGAAATTCTGTGCAGCGGTTTATGAGGAGTTGCGCTGACAAAAAAAGAGGACTGACTGACGGACTGACTGACTGACTGACTGACGGATGGGTCAAAAACATTATACCTCCCGCAACTAGTTGCGTGGGGTATAATTAACCAAAGTACCAATGTCTGTAAGTTTTAATTTGTTTTCAGTAATTGTCAATGTCAAAAACAATAGGGAAAGTTGAGATGCCTACCATGGGGTTGGAATCTGACAACATGTCTCGTAGCTGATCTAAAAATCCTTGATCTTCCACCAGCTGGGCGTTGATGTCATGAAGTTTGGCTACACATACAGCGGCAGTTTTCCTGACGTAGGGATCCTCATCCTTCAGACAGTTTCTCAATGGCTGACAGAGGTAATCAATAATTTTGTCTACTCGTATACAACCCATTGTCCTGACAGCTAGAGCTCGAATCAGAGGGTTAGAATCTTCACAATCCTGTCCAAATAAAAATTTTGTAGCTTGTTAATTTGCACACTTATCCTCCTATTATTCAACTAAAGCTCCTAAAAGGCACATAACGTCATTCATGTATCTAGTAATGCCTGCTCAGAGATCTTGAAATCTTTTTAAAAAAGAGTTTAGACTATCTATATATCATTTATCAACTTCCAACATGGATAAAACCAATAAAAATATGAATAAAATGCAGTACCCTGACAAATGTATTGACAGCCATGATGGCCATGTCTGGCTGACTCTTAGCATAGTTCATTAGGTACAGATAAACCAGTTTCTTCAATTCTAGGTTATCAGTCTGGATACAGTTCAACACGTCAGGGAAGAGAGCACTGAAAACAATGCAAAACTTACTACATGTACTATAGTTGTAGCATGGATCTGATAAAAAATGTGACAAAAAAACAAAAACATAAATCTGTTCTTTTAATAGGCAATATCAGGAGCATTAAAAAAACTTTTATTTCTGTGAAAGGTCTGTATACCTAAAATAAAAACATCATTCACCATATGCAGTACTGTCAAGCTAGCATTTATAATTACATAAACACAATATAAATTACATTTCAATTTAAACTTTTCTTTATTATGCCTAAATGTGAATCTTCTTAATAAATTAACCTCTAACATAATGAATGTCTTACCTGACGTCTTTCCCAACGGTCATGCTGGCAATCACTTTCTTGACAGCCTCTTTCTTCTTCTCTTTCTTATCACTTTGTAATTCTGTCTTCAGTTCAAACACTTCACCTACAAAAACAAGTTCAAATATAGCTTCCAATACCCAATTTTTTCAGCACAGTCTACTTTCATATATATTGTAATAGATGTAAATAAAATTATTTTTTAAATTAAAAATTTCTAGTATCATACTAAACTTTTGCTCTTATATCTGTTCTTTAATCAATAAATTACCTTTTTTGGTGGTGGTAAAGTACTTCGAGTCAGTCATTTTGTCTGCTTGCAATTAATATGCACTGAAAAATATGAATTAGTACAAAATTTATATAGACATGCATTTGTTCTTTTATCTTTTTTCTGTAAAAAAAAAAAAAAAACAAGCCACACACAAAGTAAATAACATAAAAAAGTATATCTGTATAGAGGTTATAACAGCAAATCCAACAATGCATGGATATATAACTGTTACATTTTACTTTTCGCCAGCTTCCTCCAATTCCTGATCCATACAATTTGATACAAAGCTGTTATGTCATTACATTAAAACTTGACCGTTTAGCACCAACAGAGATATGGCAAATTCATGGATATACATGTAGCAATGTTATCTTGCATCCCCAACTACATATATTCAATGAATTCCTTATACAGATATAATGAATTACAGATATAGCAAAGTAATTTTAGAGGTCACAGAGACTTCATTATTACCAAGTTTTACTGTATTGCCATAGCCATCATAATTTTTTTTTTTTAATTAGAAAATAATTCTTCCCTTTCCTATCAGATGTATGGTACAGGCAACTCTCTACACCTTAAAGTATGTGAGACAGACAAAAAACTTCAAGAGATAAAGAATGAGTTTTGAATACCAGTACTTTTGAATTTGTTGGATTTTAAAATGTAATTTGACTCACTAAACATTATATTTTTCATTTGTTTCAGGATAATTTTACAAACATTTTCAGTTAAATTTACATAGATTACTACTAAAACTGAATAAAGTAAAAAGGATATTTTCATGAACATGATGTAAGAATTACATATTCCATTACATTATATTAATATGAATTTAAATAAGAAAACTATTATTTTTAAATAACATTTCAGTATATAATAGACTATCTAAAGCCTGTTAAGCTACATTCTCGCAAAAATATAGAACCACAAAAGTTGAACAAAAAGCAAACTTCTCTGATTCTAATTCTATGGACTTATCGCAGATAAATACTAAATAAATTAAAAATGTTCTTCATTAAAATCATCACTGTTGAGGCTTTGGTTTGTTATTAATGCAACCTACATACATCATGTGACATTTGACAAAGTCTAGATCGTACAAAATGTTATGTAGGGGTGGGACGATACACACATCTTGCGATACGATACATATCTCGATATATTGGCATGATACGATACGTATCTCGATATTATGAGAAATTTTAAAACTATTCAAAAGAATTAGTATTTTATTTCTTTTTTTTGTCTTGACATTAAATCAACAAATTATTCTATATCAAATCATGTTTGCTTTGAAATTAATACTTGAAGTTCATCAATTTCATTGACTAAAACTTTACAAAAACAATAATACATGTACATACTATCATTACCAAATTACTATTCAGAAGTTGTTTACAAATAGTTGTGTAGTTTATCAGAGAACACTGACTAAAACTTCATTTAAAAACATCGATCAATTTTTTATTAATTCATAGCTAAAAGTCTGTAGCCAAGTTGAGATTACAAAAAAAAGTACAATGGACTAACAATTAATAATATCAAGTGTTCTGAAAAACGATATTTTCTGTGTATAGCACGCATTACATACTGAATTTTTCTTATCTTATCTTCCTAGGCTGCTTAAAAGTGAAAACTTTTTACCCCTAACCAACGAGTTATTTGTTCTAAAGTGCGTTTTCAATATCAACATCGTCTCTTCGCTCGTACAAGCCGCCATTTTCTAAGGACAGGTACTTTCATTTTCAATTTTTGGATAGGTCGTTCGTGTATCGTTTCGTACCGATATTTGAATGCTTGTATCGTAAACCGTATCTTGGAGGGAAATATCGATATGTATCGGTGTATCGGTATATCGTCCCACCCCTAATGTTATGTGAATGATTGTTTATTGTTTAATGCCAATTCAGCAATATTTCAGCCATATGCATGCTGATAATTGAGTTTATATGACTGGTTTTGGTTTCTCTGGCAGCCTCAAGTGAGCGACAGCCATAAACTCTTTAGCTTTTCAAAATCCAGAGAAGCAATCTTTTATGTGCCAAAGGGTTTGTAATCCTTGACATAGATCACCATGTAATGTCCCATCCGATGGACTAAAATTCTAAAAATATGTATACTGTTCATGTGCGGACTGAAGATTGAGCTAGGTCTAAATACATGTACATATATTTGACACTGCACTGAAATTTTGATAAGGTATCTGCACTCGTCATAATGATCGCACCATAAATATATTGTATTTTGTTACAAAGCTCAATAAAAGCTAAAAAGTTAACAACTACAGCACATTTATATCATAATAAAACAGAAACTGAAACATAAATAAATGTTATGCTGGTTGAGAAAATTCGGAAGTGGGCGTTTTTGTAATGTTAAAAAAAATTAAAAGGTTTTGATAAATGAAGATTAGAACACATCATATCGTTCATAGCACAGAAAAATATTCTATCTATAGTAATTTACCCTGCAAGTCCTCTAGATCAAAATTAGTTTGTGTTTGACATACGTAATCACAAATTTTACACCGGCTGAAGAAAACCGGAATTGTAGACACCCTTCTTAAAAACTGCAATTTTAATAACATTCGCACTGATTTTCGCCAAAAAATTGGCCCATTATGTAAATGAATATCTTCCCAAGACAGTAAGATATTTAAAATCAAAATCTATGCAATAACTTTTCTGATGATTACAGATATATTTCAGAGATCTATACCTCTTGTTGACAGACGTTGACCTTCACCCTTCTACCGGAAGTGCAAAAATAAATATTACCTTTTGAGAGGCGAGCGCGAGCAGACATCAAAAAGATCTTTAGCATGGCTGAAAACGCTGCACACGTAACATCAGCAATCTCGGCTTCATTGCCGTCAATATTTGAGGTCCTTGCACAGGACAGTTTGATGGGGAGCGTCAGACCAGCGTTAAAACATGCAGTAAAAGTGCGTGACAAACTCGCTGGACCGAATTTCCTCAGTTTCAATTCTCATATTTTTAATATATACTGTTTTTGCAGGCACGTAGCATCGTTTTTGAAAGTGGGGGGGGCCAACCAGAGAAAATTTTTTTTACTTACGTGAAAAACTTGACAAGCAAAAAAAAAAAAAAAAAACAAACTCGAAAATCCTATTTCGTGGGGGGGGGGGGGGGGGGGGGGGGGTAGTGGCCAACTTTTTCAAAGCCAACTTACTATCACTTCCAATTCTTTTTCCCTACAATGCTTGATATTACTATACTATACTATAAAGTGCGGGAACCAACCATCCTTTCATTGAACATTTACTATTATAGTAAAGGTAATGTTGGGGGATAAAGTGGGGGGGCCAGGCCCCCCCTGGCCCCCCAGATGCTACGTCCCTGTTTTGTAGTTCAGACACCTGAATTTTTCTGGATATTTGCTCAGAGTACATATATGCAGATTTTCTTTTGTAAAAAAATGAATTCAGAAACAAAAAAGGAGAAAATGGATGGCTGGACATGCACTGTCTGTGATGCAGTGAATCGAACCTGGGACTCCTGCATCACTAGTCAGTTGCTTTACCATTTGAGCTATCAAGGCCAATATCCATGACCCAAACCATTACAATATATGATTTATGTAAACACGAGTTGATTTTATTATCTCAGAATTATGTACCATTTTGACTAGTTAGAATGATCTAACTGTGTCTCGGTACAAGCCCTCACCACAGTTAGAATACGTCCCATATACTTGCAATGTAGCAAATCGGAGCGGATCCGATCCGAAACGATTTTGAAGAATATAAAAGGATTTGCACTGGAAATAACTACCAAATTAATCAAAACAAACCTTTTTGAGATTGCTTATGCCTTTTATCCCAGAAAATAATCCATCTAAAGACGAAAATCCAATCCAATTAATTTTCTCAACGTTTTTCTCTCGCTTCAAATTTACCTGCCATATTTACATTCGGAACTCTCTAGATTGTTCGTAGTAAATGCACTGAGTTATAGTGAGTACGAGTTATCACCCATGTTTTTTTTGCTACATTACGAATACACGGAACGAATTCCATCGTTAAACCGGGTCCGTAGGACAAAATCATTTTAATGATAGAACATTCTATCTACATTTTGACGTATTCTATCTAGAGAAGTGGACATCCACTTCTCTTGGCAAGTCTTCATGTTATGATTCTGGTAAATGTGTAAATTGTAGAACCAGTGATGCCCTACAATTCAACTAACATCTTATCTAAAATATGTCTGATTATATGATATATATATATATATAACAGTTACATACAGTTTTTTTATTTTCTTTTTTGCAATGTATTTTGGATAATATAATCCTGGCCAGTGAATTTTATTCTATTGTTTGGAGGAGTGATCCAACTTGTTTAAATCTTTTTAATTTTTTTTTTCATTCTTAATTATTAAGTGCTTTTTTACACTAAATTTATAGGTACTTGCTGAAAATAGACCTGAGAAGTTTGGATTTCTTTTGAGATGGTATGATGAAATATATACAGGACTGGATTTCATTCTTCAGAACTACTACCTTCACAAATACAGTATGTTTTAATTAGTTCAATTGTCTTTAATCAGATGTACAGTTGAACTTCAGTGTCTCAGACTCTGATATCTTGAATACCATGGATATGTCGAAGTGATTTTGAGGTCCAAACCACATATTCTTGAAGTATTTTACCTTCAATACATGTATCTCGAATCTTCAGATATTTTAAAGTTTTTTCGCAGCCCAATAGGTTTTGAGTTAACGAAGTTTCGCTGTGTAATTGATTAGATACAAAGTAGTCTAAGACTTAGACTTGCAGTTTTAAACATGAATAAAATTCTAATTTACAAATCCTAATTTACTTGTCTTGAGTTTATTATAGATGAGGAATTAAATAGGCATCTTTTACTTTGAAAAAATAATTGTAGATCTAAAACAGCATTTTTTTAGATAATTCTTTTAAATTGCAAATCATATCAATTTAGGTGCATCTTTTGCTGAAAATTTCTATGGCTTGAGAAGATATGCAAATGGAAATGCACAGACTAAGAACTTATCAAGAAAAGCCCATTGGAAATCACTTGTATGCCTGGTATGTATATTATACACCTTTTAATAATTTTGTTCACCAAATTTTTGTGATACCTTTTTCCCTGCAAGAATTAATTTGTATTTTTAAGCAAATGAAAACTTTCACAAATTCTGGCTATAAGTAATATATATATCGATATGTGAGAAAGAAACTGTTGAGAGCAGACAGTCTTACATATATTTATAATAATGCAAAATAAAGTTTTTAGCAAATTGAAAATGATTTATGATTTATTTCAATTTATAGTTTTGAATGGCAGAGTTTATTTGCACTGAATGAGAAAGAGAATTATATTGCAAAAAACTTGTATGGAATATATTATTGGTTTTGCAGCACTAAGACAAAAGTTTATCATTTTGTGACTAGAGAAATAATAGAATGGCTTAAATTTGGTGACAATTCTACAACATTTAGACAAGAAATTGTCATCGCAGTAAAATTGATTTTGAAGTGAATTAATACCATGAATGAAAACAGTACCCTGGTATGTAAATAGATCAACAACCAATGAAGATTACCAAGCTTTATAATTATATATAGAGTATCATTCGATACTACCAAAAAAAAATTGAAATACTAGTACTGGTACAAAGATCTTTATTCATGATACAGATACTAAAAGTGACCTTTTCTTTCCAAACAGGTAATTTTACCTTACTTGAAACTGAAGTTAGATCACTGGTTTGAAGAGACAAGACATAATCTGAACACAGGCCAATTACCAAAGGTCAGAATCAAGATTAAAGTTCAGATGACAAATGTTTTTTTGAGTAATTTTTGCTTCAGAAATGATCTCAGTAAAGTGGCATATTTGAAAGAAGTGAATAAATAATTCATTATTTAAAACGTTGATATATTAAAACAGGCAAAAGAAATACTCTATATTTGTGCAAATTCAAACACTCATAATTTGGTATGAAAGAAAAGTTAGTGAAATGATACATTTGCATATCTGAAGCCTAATATAATGATATACTTATTGGCATGTTCTTAGAAACAATTTTATTTTTTCAATTCTAAACTTTGTAACATGTATTTCTGAGAAAAATATGTATAAACACATTTTTATCTGTTTTTGAAATACTTTACATACTGAATAGACAGTATTCCTGCTTAATATATGAAATATGATGCATGCTCGTACAATATTATACATATATCACATGGCTTCGAGGGCGACTATACCAGAATATTTGCCCCTCGGTAAAGAAAACCCTCAGTGTTATGTCACCCTCTGCCTTCGGCATCGGGTGACACACTCCAGGGCTTTTTTCACTGAGGGGCAAAACCTGGTATAGTACGTCATGTAATATATGTTATATGACATTTTTAGAATTAAAAGAAAATTTAAAATCATTCAAAATCGTTAAAATTTACACAAATAATCCAAAAATGCCTTCTTGACGTTAAGAAATATGCTGTGTTGTTAACTTTTGTTTAGCAACCGACGTCAAAAAATCTGGAACCCGAACTAAAATGCGTAACGTAAAAACACGTGAACGTGATCGAGAGGGTGACCTAACTGTTTCCGTCGGAGGTGACATAACTGTTTCCGGTGTGACTCAGCATTTTTCAGGGTTTATAGCGAAACTTATTACATTTGTGATATAATAAGAAAACTTATTCAAAAATGTTATATAATTTATTGTAGCGTCAAGCAATGAAGAGGCTGTACAGAGTTTTTGTAGCAGTATATCCTTACATCCACATGAGCTGGGAGGGCAGTATGCTGGCGTATCAGGTCGCCTACATGTTTGGTAAGACCTCCTGGCACTCCCCTCTCCTTCATCTCTCGGGAACCAGACTGTCTCATGACGAGGAAGAGGAGGAGGAATCAGACAGACTCTCGTTCTCGGACCAGTGGTCATCTTCCAGGTATTTTATGATTGGTCATCATGCTTTTCCTTTTTTGAATAAATATGTGGAGATATTTCCATGGAAATAAGCAATTTGCTGAAAAGCTAATACATTAATTTTTTTCTGAACATATTTTATTGAATAAATCAAAAGGATCGGAAAAACTCAATGGTTTCTTTCCTGAAATAATGTGTAAAAACCATACATGTTTATTTTTTATATGTTTAATTTTAAAAAGCAGTTACATTTTTTCATAGAATTAATCAAACTATGTAAGCTTTCATTACAATAAAAAGTTTTTTCCCTCACAAAACATTCAAAACTGAACAGAGTTATCTCCCTTAACACATTTTATCTGTTGAGAATCAGAGAAATTTTTTTCTTGTAGTTTACCAGGCAAGCTAAACCTCACCACAAGAAAAGCCTTGAGTGTCACAGCTGTCACCCTGTCCACAGGTCTGTCTGTGGGGGTGTTTTTCCTGCAGTTCCTGGAGTGGTGGTATGCTAGTGATAACAATACTCCCTCACTGATGGCACTGCCTGTCCCTGACCCCCCTAAGGTTTGTATTATGGGAAATTTTGAAGGTCACTCAAATATAAGGAAATATTTTTGCTGGCTTACTAGTTTTATTGAATCTTGTATATATGTTAAACTCATTTTCAATAATTATTTAGTTATGGTCTGTAAGTGTAAATGATCATTAAAAATGACAAAGCTTATCAAGCATAGCAATATACACAATATACACAATTCCCTTTCAAGCTTTAATTTTTTTTTATTTTCAGACTGACAGAGACTTGATAAAGACTTCACATGATGTTTGTCCGTTATGCCTTAAAGTTCGTACAAATCATACAGCTCTCTCTACCTCAGGGTACGGTGTCCTCTTATCCTCCATACTGAAAAATATCCAAATAACAAGTTAACATTTGTATTGCATTATGTAAAGAAAAATACTGTTGTATTAAATCATACAAATTTTCAAGTTGGTTTTCATTTAAAGTTTAATACATAGAGGATATTCGATGTTTTGTAGTTGAATATGGAATTTATTTCACGAGTGGGACAGGATTTTTGATATTTTCACGAGTGCGAAGCACGAGTTCAAAAAATCCTGTCTCACGAGTGAAATAAATTCCATATTCAACTACAAAACATTGAATTTTCTGTTTATTACATTTTTAAACAAAAATCTTTGATTTTTCCTTTGCCTCTGCCTTTTTGTAATACAATGATAGGCTACATGACGTCATAGTTGAGTGGTTGAGACGTCATAGCTAAGTGAGGTGAAAACACTGTAAACATGGATTTAGCAACATATTTTTGGTAATTTTTGACAGTTTTATTCGCTGTCAGAATGGTTTATTTATTTCCATCTATCATATTACGTAAAGGAAGTTTTTTTTACAACAACCTTCGTTATGGGAAGAGAAATCGAGAGTTTTCCCGCACTTCTGATATTCGTCACACTGTGACAGGATATCATTTTGATATCCTTTCACACTGTGACAGGATATCATTTTTATTCAATGAATAAATTACAGTATATCACGGGTAAAAATGTAATAAATGTCGTCATTCAACTTGGATTGGTAGTCATCATCAGTAACTGTAGGAACTATAGCAGTATGATATGTTTGTTATAACAGAGATTTTTTTTTTTCACAGGTTTGTCTTTTGTTATCCCTGTATCTATGATTACATCAAGCAGCACAGATGTTGTCCAGTCACTAGTTACCCATCCAGACAGGAGCATCTGATCAAACTCTACCCTCCAGAATCCTAATGCAGACAGGAATGCCTGATCAAACTCCATATTCTGGATATGGATAGGAGCAACTGATCAAACTGTAGACTCCAGATTCCTAATCCAGACAGGTGCAGGAATCCATAAAGGAATGCCTGATTAAACTCCACCCTCTTGATTCTTAATCTGGATGCCACTGGATTCAGATATCTGGAAACACTGGATATTTATATCAATCAAGCTGTGATAAGACTGTGATTAATTCAGTCTGAGTGAATGATTTCATCATACAATTTTCATTTTAAGACTGAGCGATGATTTTTTTTCTGTGATGACTTTTAATTTACATTTCGCTGATTTATTTAGCTGATCAAGTATGATAGAGAAAACTCTTAACAGGTACATACATCTAATAAATTTCTACATATGAAGTCATTTGGGAAGATTTTAGATAGATCATGCGTGCATATTTTAGGGTAGGATGAGGTGGATCGAATTTGAAATATATGCCTTTATTTACATCTATTGAATATTTGTGTGCAATAATTTTATATGTGAATTATACAAATGCCATATATTTTTGATCCTTTTTGACAATTTTGAGTAATTCTGATTGGATTACTGGTTATGAGCTATTTGCTAAGAGAGATCTCATGTTTGTTATATTTTCAGGTATACCGGTACTTGTTTTTATAGACTGTGAGTATTAATTAAATGAATGAATAAATTAAATGAATGCATGGAGGATTAGTTATCTTACAAATCTTTTTTTACTAATTAGTCTTTGTTGAATTTTGAACACATGTTAATAAATGTTTTATGTTACTTTTTTTGGTCTGTTCAGTAACTTCAGTTCATCATGTAGACCAAACTTGCATTGCATGTTCAAACTTGCATGCATGCCTTGTGTTTTAAAATGAACAATTTCTATACAAAAAACATATTGATCAATAAGTTCAAATCACTATGCAGAAATGCATATTTATGCATCTTTATAGAATTTCATTAGAGTTATTTTAAACTTGGAAGAGTAAATTTAAGAGGCAGCAGTATGCAAAGTGAGTTGCTGTGGATTAAAGGATGATATAAGCACATTGGTGTTCTTTATGTGAAAAGTAAGCATGTATTAATCGATACAGCATATATTCTGAAACTTGGTCTGTTTTAGGTATGTTTGTAGAACTAGAATTCTAGTAGTGAAGATATGGTACCCCCACTAAGAAGTCACAAGTGTGAAATAATCTGCCACAGACCCTAACAAGGCACTTCAAGTCAAGATAATCATAGTATTAAAGTCAGATCATAAATCTTGAGAACCTAGGTGATCTTCAGCTAAAATATCAATTGCTCCATGTAAAAGTTTACAAGTTATTGATTTTAATAGATGAATTATTTGGCAAAAAAAAATTCTATGTATTTAAGTTTACCTTGACTGTTTATTCTGAAAAAATACATTTATGCAATCATTACAAGAACTAAAACGAAAGACTTTCAGTAAATGACAAATTTTGAAGAGATAAAAATCAAAATAAAATTAGTGTTTTTGAGGATTTGGTATTGATATGTAGCATGATAGAGAAAACTGTAGGCTAGTAATTGTTACAGGGAACACTAAGTTGTTAGGAGATTTTGAAGTGGCCGTCCATTCCCTGATGAAGGGTCAAGTAGAATATTGGAATGTGATGATAGCCTGGGTATATTGATAAACTATTGATCTTCAGTTTGAATGGGTTATTTAGTGGAGGGGGAGACTTTAACAAAGCTTTAGGTATTGGCAGGCCATAGGTACCAATTTTAACTAACCTAAAACTATTGACAAAAATATATTTTAAATTGAAACTTTTTTTAGGACAAAAAATCTATAATATATTCTTCATGTTCAAGTTTTTGACTATTTTTTTGACAGGACATTCTTTTTCAATATTTTTAGAGAATAACTCCTGTAAGATTTAGATTTCTTTCTTGCTATACAATTCAATTGTAATCATTATCAGCAAAATTTAATTGAATATTGTTGTGATATTTATCGGTGCATGGTCTAAGAAATTATAGCTTAAATTAAATTAACAACTAAAGACATCCAGTTACTTGTACCAATGAAAAAACATTTTTATTATTCCTGTATTTTTAAAATGGTGATATAAAATTTTTGGAGCAATTTTCATGGCAGAATAGAAATTAAGAACTATTTTAATTTTCTTTGATGATGTATGCTTTTGAATTTAATTCAACAGAACTAATTACAAAGCTATTAATTTTTGGCTGTATAAGAGAAGTTTAAATATGATATCTTAGCATGAGGCAATGTTATGAGTCAGTTCTTGAAAACCGAGGCCCAAAATGACCTAGCCTTAAAATGCTATTCATTGAATACGGGAACCATTTCCTATTTGTTCACGTGGAAGGAATGGAGGTTTAGGAATCAAAATAAAAGAATTTCACACTTAGTCTTACACCTCGGTGTATTTGTGCGACCAAGTTCCTGGCAAAAACAAAATCTGATTATGTAGTTGTTTTTCGAATTAATCTTCATCTATTTCAAATTGAAGATTGAGCTTCTTTTAGAATGTTAGTGTATTAAGTTTATAGAAGTCAATGAATGGAATTGTTACCATTGATAACAGCTGCTGGTTGTTGTTGACTTTTGCAAAAGGTTCATACACCATTATGATAACACTATGGTCTCACCTCAGGGAAAGCTTTTATATATTTATCAAATTGTAGAATTTTTGGTTTGAACTTCATGAATCCTTCTGAGATAAAATTCCATTTAGCAATCTCGTAAGTCACGTACAATGCTTCAATAGGGGGATTTTGGTATATAATGAAGTGCATTGTGGTATAAAAAGCCAGTGTTTGCCTAAAGGAAAGTTGGATTGAAATTGTGCATCGTGTAAACATGTCTTCATATGGACTTTGAAATTTATGAAGAGTGTAAAAGCATTTGGATGTACTCCTTCAAATAGCAAGTTGTGAAAACTTTACATTAAAATTCTTCTTCTTAATTCCTAGTTTTGAAGAGGTATGACATTTTTATCTGCTTCTTTGCCAATGTTAATTCCTTTATTGTGAAAATATGTATTAAAACTCATAACTGGCAGGTCTCTTAATTTTTTCAGTAAATGTTCTGTGTAAATGCTTTCTTTGAATTGTGATGGAATAATGCCCTCTTCAATTGTGGTGTGATGAAGGGGAATAAATAAGGCATTGTAGTCAATAGGATATGCTTGGTGTACTATATTAGGGCATGTTTTAAAAAATTTTGAAGTCCTCAATACATTTACATAGATATGGTAGTCAATAGTGTAAGTTCTTTCTTTTAAAGCCTGTTTTGGTCTATTAGCATGCGATATCAAAATTTCAGCATCACTCTGACATACAGTATATAGGTGCAAATTTAATTGGAGTTCTCTCGCTCACTTAATATAGATCAAGATTTAAAGTTGATCATTGGTCCAAGTTTTATTAATTTATTAAATCAGTAGACAATTTTTATAGATGCATATATAGCAACTGTGCAAATAAATATTGAAAATCATATTAGAGACCTGAGACCTTTTATTGTGGGTAGATCAGGGGTTTCCTCGTGGCGCTAAACCATTAACACTCTCTCCCTATCTGTTTTGGTATGTTGTTTTTGGTCTTTGATTTCACTGAGTAAATATTATCGTACTTTGTCAATAATGTCTAATGGTAGGTTTTGTGACACCAGTCTGATCATCAAAGATTCACATTTACCATTTTTAAGTAGAAAAGTTGAGACAGCTATTTTTGGTAGAGAGAAATTCTGTGTTGAATAAAATGTAATCAGACTATATAATAGCTATTAGGTTTGATAAGTATTAAATTTCAAGTTATGTACATTGCTCCCTTTTCTTTTTTAATTGCAGAACATTTTATTTCTTTAGAAAATATTGTCTCAGAGGAAATAATTTTCATTGAGTATAGAAATAAATTTTGGTGACTTTCATATTTGTCCACCACTTTGATCTAGTATTTGAGTATAAAGTAGATCTTATCATTTATATTAGGGATACCTGAAAGTGTTTCATTTTAAACTTTTCCATTAAAATCCAAGCAGATTTGAAAAAGATAGGATTTGTCTTTGTAAAAGATTAAAGTCTGTACAGTGTATCCTATAGATGCTTTACTAATGGCGGGGTGCCAATAGCACCATTCTACCGAATTCTCCAACTAGATGCCATCTGATTTTTTTCTCAATTGGCAGCAATCATTTGCAGAAATCTAATAGATCAATAGAAATGTTTACCTGTCCCTACCTGTAGATATTTAACAAGTTGGTGGAATTGCCTCACCTGGGCAGAAAAATAAAAATTGTCACAGTCTTTTAAATATCTATCACATCACTGTGGGGCAGAGGCACTGAATGCATTAAGGCGATCATACTTGTATTTCGAGGGTATAAAAACTTTCGTGATGAAGTTAAGAAACAGTTTATGTTATATATTGACTTGGATTATTTTGGTGCTGGCCACTTGATTTATAAATAGGATTAATACAGAAGATAATGTCTCTTACCTCTATAATCCCCACCGATTGATTTCTGATTTGGTGACTTTAGAAAATCACATCTGGGACGCTTTATTGAATTATTAGAATGTCAGCACGGAAAAGAATGCCTCGTAAACAAAAGGTAAAAGGATTCAGAATATTTTTTCCTTGGTGTTTTCTAGAATTTAATTCAGGACTTGATTTATAGGATAATTATAGTAGTTAAATTGAAAAATTTTCAAAATAATCAATTATAATTTGCTCATTTTAACAAAAATTTACTAGGTCTGTTTTATTAGGGTATATCAATTTTACATTAATGAAGGATGTTTTAGATGTGCAGTGACACAATAGACTGTACAGCCATTGTAGACTCGTCAAAAAAATGATCAGCTGAGGATTTAAATGAAGTCAGCTGTATTCTTAAGAGCGCTGTCTAAAAGTTTAAGCAATACTGAATAAACGTAGTTATAGTACCACATGAACTTAATCAGTGTTTGAACAGGCATACGGAAATTTCTGTCCACCTGTTAGCAGCTTCTATATATCAAAGATGCAGAATGACAGGATTAATTGTACTGTAATTGTGTCTGTAGAATTTTTAAATTTTTATTTAATTTTTATAAAAATTTAAGCTTTTTATAAAGGTTTGTTTACATCCATCAGAAAATACCCATTAAATATGGAAAATTAAATTATTCACAACACTTTGTTTTTCACAAGAAAGGTACATGTATTAATTTGTAATTTAGAAGTGAGACAAAATTTTCACAAAATCTGGTCATTGCTAAAAATTTACGATAAGAAAAAAGTTGTTCATGCAGACTTTATCGTAATTTTGCTAAGATAAAGTTCTTGCAAATGAGAAAAGTAATTTATAGTACTATATTATTTCAGAATGGAAATCAAAGAAATAATAGATTGACAGTTAGAAGACAGCATTGAAATAATGACATTTAAATAAATTTTAATTTTATAAAGATATACATTTAATGTAGTTTCATTGATTTGACAATAAATTTAATGCATTATAAATTTAATTCAGACAAGTGACACCTGCTCTTAGATAATGTTGTTTAAAAACTTTGGTTAAATTTTCTATATATCCATCGTCAGAAACCCAAGGTCGGTCTCGCTTCTGGTTTCTGACGATGCTATATGTCTATATCTTCGATGAATGGATCCCTATCTGTCGATGATTATTTATGTTTAGGCATCAAATTTATATTCATCAAAATTGACTGGAAACTTTCTGATGAGCCAGTTTTTTTAAAGAACGCGCTGAAGAGAGAAATGGTAATTTGAAAACTCTACCGAATGCCCTGTTTTTTGAATGAAGATCTGTTTTGGCAGCATGCTGGAAGTCTCTGAAGATTGATATGTCATTAGACTTAAGATAAATTTGTTCTGGATCAATACCACCTTTAAGATGGCACGTTTAAAATTCTGGCCCGATTTGGAGGTCATCTCACCTACATAACTCAAGCTGTGCATATCTACCAGATATACATCACGTCAAATGCTATGACAGCTACCAAATACTGCCCAGTCATTAACAAACGCAGTTAATTATTTAAATACATCGGTCATAATTCATTGTTATCCAGTTTCATAATGTGAGGGTCATAATTTACCATCAGTTAACTATTAACCTCTGATATGGTTGTATTTTGTAAATATTAACTACATGTATTATAAAAAAAGGGGATTTTTTGTTACGTTTTTCTTAGTTATCAATCAGTCTGCTGCAATTTTGAATTTTGTACAGGACTCACAGTTAGTTATCTTTAAATGGGGACTGGATCATTAAAACTTAAACTTTCTATCAAAAAGATACAACAAAATGTTCTTTGACATACACTGTACATGTTCCTAAAGTATTTTGATTGCCTGTAATTCCGAAAAACTTCACTGTGTAGAAAAAGCATGGCAAACATCTCTTGACAAGTGAAGAGGTGATTGGGCCAGTTATCTCATGTCTGGGGAACCCTTGATCAGGGCATATTTCATATCCGTGGATTTATTGGGATATATTGGGCTGTAGCTTGTTTGACCACCAAGGTTAAGTGGGGTTTACAGCTATTTTTTCTGTAAAGATCATTACAGTTGGATGATATTTGACAATTTATGAGAGAGACCATATGACTTTTCTCTATAAATGATAGTACTTTACAAGGATTATAGAATGATAAGGAAAAATAAATCTGTCCTATTTGTGATATTTTTTCTCATTCTTTTGTTAGGTTGCAGGGTTAAAAGAGAAGTTTTTATATGAGCCTTTGTTGGGGGCAGACTTTAATTGAATTTTCCATGTTTTGTGAATAATAGCGCCGCTTGATAATGCTATTAGGCCAATTTCAATATTTTCACAAAAACAGTTACTGTAAATTCTATAGATGTATTGACTTTGAAAATGAGCTAGCACTGGCATGAAAATTGATGTAAAGCAGTTATTGAGGTTAGCAGCAATAGGATATTATAGCAGAGTTCCCATATTTTATTTTCATATTATCTGGATGTAAAGTAATAAATATTTAAAATCAACTTTTTCGGTAGTGTCTGTAAAGTATCTTTTTTGCAGGGTCATATTTCAATGTAACAGGAAGATGAATGATAAACGATATGATTGATTGTCAAGTAATTTATACTATAGGGTCCTAACTTGTTTGAAAGGTACTGGCCTTCATAAATGTGCCCCCTCCCCACTTTTAAAAATTGTTCCGCCTTTAATTTTCCAATTTTTACCTGTAATTGTAAGATAGAGACATGATAGGAGGCTGTATCTTCATGGTTCAGTTTTTAACAATGGTTTTTGGAGTCACGTGATTTTTTTTTTTTTTTTTGCCCTTAGTACTTACTTTTTTACAATATTTGTAATCAATGTACACTGTACAATATTGCTGGTCTATAGATACCTGTTTGTTTATTTATTTCTTTATACCCCCTTAAGTTTTGACAATTTGTTACTCATATTGAGATGGTACCAAATTCGGGTGGTCAGGGCAGCAAAATTTGACCTGCACTTAGTACTTAGTGCCTTTGAGAAGTGAGGAATAAGACATACTGTTACACAGGACCTTGGTTTAATTATGGTCTTATCTGAAAGACTGGTATCTACATCCCATAGTGGGATTCAAACCTGCAACATAAGGATTAACTCCTTGCTCCAACAATCTGGAGCAAACAGTACCCTAACCACTAACTGTGCCACATTAATTGGTAACTCATTTTAAAGTGGACATTATTCTTACTAAGATAATTTCTTTTTAATTTTCAGAACAAGTGATCTGAGAATTGCTAAATTTATTTCATTAAGTGATGTCAATAATACATAAGAGATATGCCAAATATCTCATGCATAACAGGTGTTTATTGCTTTTAGAATCCTTGATACAAGGTCTTAAAAATTAGCCCACCTTTATTCTAAATTCTTCATTGTAAATTGTGTTGGAATATTTAATTGCTTGCCTCAAAATGCCTAACTTCCTTCAAAGACATTACAATGCAAGAAGAAAATTCTTTTGAAACAGATATTGGAATTTTTGGCACATTTCATCTATAATACCTATGGGTATTTTTGGAGTTAATGGTTTCTATATTTGAATATTCATATTAATAATCAGTAGGGTTAAAGGGGAAACTACTGTGTTGAGGAATCTTTTTCAATAGATTGACTACAAAATAGAAACTGAATAGAAATTCTAACTGATAATTGGCACTGATTTATCCTTTGCAGACCATGATGGAAATCTTATAAAAGTATTTCTACAATGTAGATACAAGGTAACTGGCATTCTAAAATTCTCTTCTATATTTTTTGGCAGTGATAAATGATGTGTGTTTGTATATATAGATTCATGTAGGATTGGATGATTTAAGTTTATGGCTTTATCTGTCTATGGTTTGAAAAGTCCCAAAATGCATGTAAAAACGGTTATTCTTCTACAATAGAAGTAGCAAATGAAGTGTAAGGTATGAGATACTTAAAATGATTTGTACAATCTTCAGTTACCATCTTGGAATAAATGTTTGGTTTTCTTTGTAAAATTGTATTGACAGTGTATCTTTAAATTACCTGTTTTATAGATGTGCATTGCTCAGATTTCACAAAATATTGACATTTAGAATAAGGCACTTATAAAGCTTCAATAGGAATGAATTCAAACACAGTTGCTCCTCTGTATGGCATTTAAAGTTAATTGAAAGAGGAACAATTTTCTTGAAGGTTAATAAACTGTAAGATATGGGTATTTTGGTCTTTCACAGCAAGCACATGTGAATCTAATTCTCAGGAAAATATTTCATGTCGATCTTTTCCAGGACTGATGACCAATTTTTCTGAAGTGAAAATTGAAGTTATATTGTCCTGTGTGCTGGCTGCCTTGTGCATTCATGTTGTTGCCTGTATTATTGATATTTTTTATGTAGAAAATTCATGTGCATGCTTAAGAAGATTTTTAAAATTTTATATGGAATTTTATGTATGCAGGCCATCCACCCTGTACAGTGATATAGCATTCACAAGCGAAGGGTATAGAGACCACTTTAATTCCCAACAAAATTCCCTTCTGGACCAAGCTTCTTGATGGCGTACTTAAACTGTGCATCAATATTTAGGTTACCTAAGAAAAATTTTGGCACTCTTATATACCGTATAAGGGGAAATTTTAGCGAGACACAAATTTAGCGATTTGTCCATAAGAACTGGTATTTTATTTTTAGCAAGATGTTATTTTAGCAATTTTAAAATTCACACTAAATAAGCTATATTACAAATCAAATGCAGTTTATTATAGCGATATTTAATTTTAGCGATCTCGACACCCTTGCTTATAATGCCAAAATTAAATCCTAGCTAAAAATTCTGTGTATAAGGTAATTCTAAATGAGTGATCAAATTTTAAATTACTCTTACCTAAAAATGAGTTGAGAGTTATAATTTTTTTTAATAAGATGCTGTTCTTTACTGGTAGTCCTGTTGAGATACACGTATCAAGGATATGGTAGCTAGTGTTTACAAATTGCATTTATAAACTGAAATGGATTGATTTCATGTTAAAAATCATTGTCACATTGAGCCACATCTGTTGACAAAAAAGTAGAAGTCTCTGGTTTTTTTTTAAAAATGTTGATTAGAAAATCTTTGCTAAACATAGAATTCTTTGTTAAACATTAAATGAAAACATAATATTCAGAATGTCTCAATTTTACATGAATCCTATAATTCTATATAGAGAACAGGTGCAAATCATATTTATACATGTATTCTTTTACCTTTAATAATTGATTAAGTTGATATAGGTGTGAATTTACATATCACTGCACATTAATATAATACCTTAATGCCATTCTATTGGTAAAACTAACTTTTAGTATCTCTTTTTGTTGTTCATTTGTTTTTTAGAGATAAGGATGGAAGGTATTTTGAGAGTTCAGAAAGGTCAAGGACATTGATTCCTCTTCAATGAAGCATTTTCTTATGCAGCTTCAATCAGATTTGTCACCTTAGTCAGATTACAGCAAGTCAAAGAAAGGGCAAAGCTAGAGAGCCAGTAGTGCTTCACAGAGATATATTGATTAATTATGTAGGGAACCATTGACTTGTGTATTCCATTTCATTTCAGTTGCAAGAGAACTGGTGAAGAGTAGATTTATTTTTTCCACTTGAATCCAGTATTGTATTGAATTAACCTTTGAGTAGAGTTTTTGGTTTTCAATCAGAAAACTTTTTAGAGGTAATCAGAAATAGATTTGCTGGCATAAAATGATTGATTTCTTTTCTTTCAAAAAGTGTAAGGTTTCCTAATGTATGTCACAACATCTTGTTGCCAGTTTTCCAAAAGGAATGAAGCCTGATGAACCTTGAGAGGCCTTTATAGATTGTTAGGTGTTCTGTTTGTCTGGAGTTATATAGGAAACTCATCAATTATCCAAAAACGAAAAAATGTCAAGCTAGTTCTTGCCAGAAACATAGCAATATTCCACTTGTCTGAATATTCCTACATAGGCATCCTGAGGGATATAAATTGGTTGGAACAGTGAAGGCTCTTCTGGTATATTGTTTTCAGTAATGGGTGCAATGTGCCATGAAATTGTAAACTTTTTGTTTGAAATGGCTCATATTGAGTGTTAAATCTGATTTGTTAAAACTTGTCTTTTTTTAAATGGATGGCGAGTCACACATTATCTGTCAGTTTATAAAATGGATCTGAAACATTTAAATTTAAAAGCTGCAGAAATAGAATAATATCTTGTCAAAGAAAAGTGAAAAAAAAATCTGCATTTGATGGATTAGGTGAAGCATAGGAATTAGGGGAGATAATCATGTCATTAATGAGGTGAGAGTTACAAGAGATAAAATAGAAGGCTTTCCACTGCATTGGTTAAATATAAAGTAATATCTTACAGACTCCAATGGCTATTTTTTTTTCAAAGAAATCTGCAGATTATGCATTCTTTTGTTGATATTGTGAACTGGCACTGCAGATACTTCAGTGGAAAAAGGTTAATTATAAACATTATTGAATGAATCCAGTGCACTTTCTTTTTGTAATTTTGTATACAATGATTTGTAGCATATATATTCTAGGACTAATTGTAAAGAATTAGACAGCTATAAGCCAGTTTTTGCTTTGATCTTTCAGGTAATCACAGGTATAGATCTATATATACAGGTACATTCTCCTCTTAGTACTGTAGAAGTACATGACCACCTTTGAAACCTGTATACTTGTAATAAAACAGGTATCTACGCCTGACAGTATTGGGGGCCATACTGTATTGATGAATGACAAATGAGTAAAACTAAACTTTACAGTTGTCAATATTGAGTGGGGTACATTAGCAGTGTTTTGATGTTCAGTTTTTTTTTATTGTTACAAAAGATCAATTTAGATTATAAATTGATAGAAAACCATTTTGTATTGGTTATGTGTCATTTTACTTGTTCCCCCTGTTCAATATTTACAATGTAATATTGAGTTCCTCTTTTAGCTCGGGATTGCTTTTTAAATCTAAAAAAAAGAATTTTAAATTTCATTGAAAAGTTTTCTCCTTGAAGATAAACTTGAAGACTTTTTCATTTAAATTCATTCAAAAGATATTTTTTTAAAAAATAAATGAATTTTTTAGAAATTAATTATAAGTGATTCTATTTTTCAGCATGTCAGAATGAATGGTGTGTCAGTGAGTGGTTCTGGGGATTGGAGTGATGATGCTGTCAAGTCAGGCTCCAATACTGGTAAGTAATGGCTTAGTCTAAAACATGATCTGGGTGATCCAATCCAACACGGGTAAGGAATGGCTAACTCTAAAACATAATCTGGGTAATCCAATCCAACACAGATACGTAATGGTTTAGTCTAGAACATAATCTGGGTAATCAAATCCAACACTATGGCCTACTCTAAATCCAATCTCACACTGGTAAATAATGGCTTAGTCTATATTAACATAATCTGGGTGATCCAATCCAACACTGGTAAGTAATGGCTTACTCTAAAACATGATCTGGTTACTCCAATCCAACACTGGTAAGTAATGGCTTACTCTAAAACATGATCTGGTTAATCCAATCCAACACTGGTAAGTAATGGCTTACTCTAAAACATGATCTGGGTGATCCAATCCAACACTGGTAAGTAATGGCTTAGTTTAAAACATGATCTGGATGATCAAATCCAACACTGGTAAATAATGGCTTAGTCTAAAACATAATCTGGTTAATCCAATCCAACACCGGTAAGTCATAGCTTACTTTGATACATGATATAGCAATTCCACCTAAAAATTAAAAGATAGAATTCGACATTCAATTTTTGAGCAATTGAGTGCAGAAGATTAAAGGAATAAACATTCTTTGTTATGAAATTATACAGAATAAAGTAAATATTGATGCCCAAAAATACCCAAACACTAACAACGTTTGTGACCCATAAGGGAAGATAACTACGAAAAGTATTTCGAGCGCGATTGAAATAAAGCAAAATATATATAACTGGATATAAGGTTTGAATGATTTTAAATTAAAAATAATTAAGAAATGTATTTCAAATTGCAAAAATTTCATTATATTTATGGGAATTCTGAACTGTCAGTACTTTATTCTATACAAATCATGAAAATACCAACTATGCCTCCGATCCCGATCCCGATGAAGAAAAAAAAAATAACAACAGAATACAACGTCAGTAGGTTAAAAAAAGATTTACAAAAATTTTCACATTTATAGAACGTGTAATTTTCACATGACCTTTGTAAACATTTCTTCTAATTTTTAGTCGGCGAGCAACTTCGAGCAAGCAGAAGAACGTGAAAAAAATTATTTTCTTGTGTCGTACATGTTAGACATGTATTTTTGAAATATATTTACATTTAATCTTATTACATATACAGTAAAACTATTATAGAATAATTTCACCAAATACCTATAGAAAATTATTTTTACTGGTAAAGGCAATGTCACATACCAGATAAAGGTCTGTCATGCGAAACACGAAGTGTGCGTATCTGCAAATGCACGGACAAACTCAACACAGTAAAAGACCACTACCGCTGATGATTGAGTTGTCTTCGTTTCCTCGCCCTAGCGGTCACTCGAAATGCTACATGGTTAATCTAATCCAACACTGATAAGTAATGGCTTACTCTAAAACATGACCTGGGTGATCCAATCCAACAGTGGTAAGTAATGGCTCACCCTAAAACATAATCGGGTTAATCTGATCCAACACTGGTAAGTAATGGCTTACTTTTTAACTGCTGGATGATTCAATCCAACACTGTGAGCAATGGCATCCAACATTTGAAAGTAATAGCAAATTCCAAAACATGAAGTAGTTTATAAATCCAACACAGTAATGGCATATTCTAAAACATGACCTTGTTAATCAGAGACAGCATTATCTTCTCTAAGAACAAGAGTCTTGATTAGTGATATTTAGATCTGCAGAAAAAAGATCTAATGAAGAAACAGCAGGACCAACGTGTCTGAGATGAGCATTGTGGCCCATGGGCCTATTGTTTGAAAGGTATCACCATATGGCAAAATGCTTGCTCTCAAGGGCAGTTCTTATGAACTAATCCAGTTCTTTATATCTGCAAATAGCACATATTAGGACAATAATTATCTTTACTCTTCAGTTGATGAAGCTTATGGGCCTTCCAGGGGTGTGACAATCCAAAATTAGGTCACCATGACCTACATTTAAAATTTCATAGCCACTCATGTCAGATAATTCTACCTTTATAATATTTTGCTCTAATATTGGCCATAAGGTCACCAATCCTTATTAGTAAATGTGTCTTGGAGTTCAATAATTTGACAGCCTAAAATCATATTGCTTCTTTCACAACCAAAGAGTAGATTATAATGGCTACATACATACTTTATCTGTCTTGTATGTTGTACAATAAAGCAATAAAAAGCATGTCTTTTTCTGCAGATCTAAATATGACTAATCAATGCTTTATTGTTCTTGTATCAGGTGTCAGTTTGAGACTCTTGTTTGAGAAGTACGGAGTATTTACTTGCAATTTTACATAATACATTTGACAAGTGGTTTTATTTACCTTAATTCTCTCCATTTTTTGGATATTAACAGGTAATCTGTCTTTTTTGGCTATGAAATTTATTTTAAATGTAAGTAACTCTCCTGCAGATAAATTACAGCAGATCTCTGCACATTTAGTCTCTGTTAACATAAGTATACAAATCATGCAGTGCTGCAAACCAGGGTACTAGATATTAAGGAGATTATTACTGCTAGATAACATGGGGCTGGTATGATTGGTATTTATCTAGCTTCATGTGGAAATAGTGTGCTTGACAATTTGTACATCATAACATGTTTGGCCTCTTTTTGACAACAGTTTTAAAAGAGTTTAAAACATCAGAGATTTAATGACAGTAAAGGTATTCTGCCAATTTCAGTTTTCAGATCCAAACATAAAGTTTGACAAAATGTGAATTAATATATATATATACATGATCATTGCCTTTACTGCATTAATCTATTTTGAATAGAAATTTGACCTTTATCAAAAGAAACAGGGGAATCATTTGAGTATCAAAAAGAAATTGAAAAAGAAAAATTAAAAATGCATCCTCAATAAAAAAAAGATTTAAGTTTTGAAAAACAAGAATTGCTTATTCTTTATTGCCTGTTCTTCACAAAATCAATTTTTGTCAAGCTGATTAAAAAAATTGATTTCCTATCATTTAAACTCTTTTACTGGCACTAAAATCTGTTTCTTGTAAATCCTTGCAGGATTTTCTGACCCAGAAAATGAAGAAGGAACAACAAGAAGGGGAGACAAACACTTCACCAAGAAGTATGATCCTTATAATGCAGTGCTGGACAAAATTGATGCAGAGTTGTCTTCCATGGTATGAGAAATTAAACAAAAGTTATTTTTTTGCCTTTAGAATATTTTCATGCTTTTATCCAAAATAAGTCCTGTCATTAGATGTCATGTTTCAGTAATGACTTATATGTAATTATATTCAGATGTGTTATAAAGAAAATGGTGTTATTTTTCAGAAAAGTGGTTCTCAGCCAAGTACAAAGGGAGATAAATCACAGTCCTCAGATTTTGATGAGTTAACAAGAAGTCAGCTTGCAAAACCTGGTCAGTAGTCTTCTTGCCATTGTACACTTTGTAATTTATTGACAAATGCTGTTGATATTTTTATACTCTACATTAAACGAGAACAGATTGTCATTCATACCATTGTTAATTCTACAGATAATTCAGAAAGGTACAGAAAAGTTCTTGAACCTCCGTCCTCAGGTTTAGATATTTCGAGGGGTCGACACATTATTGGCACAGCAGAGATCTACAGCGATGCTGCAGGGGGGACTGATGGTAAGTGGTTCTGTTGTAAAACTCCATCTGATTCACACTGTTGGCAAAGCGTTTATTATAGATTGTCTTTGTTAATGCTGACTGTACTTTAGCTTTCCTTATAGTAAAACTTTTCTAATCCAGACTTCGCAGATTCTATAGAAATTGGCCAGATATGACTGCATTCCTGATTATATATAATTTTAAACATTGAATTTGAGTCTGATGTTGAGTCTGATTTAGGGGGCGTAAAGTTTATGTCCTTATGAAGTTTATGTCTGTAGCTGTAAGATCTTCAAATATACAATATCTGGATTCTAGCACTCTTTTTGTCTTTATGCATACTTTAGAGGCCATCTTTAATATACATGTACCAAGAAGTTTGAAAAAAAAGGCATTGTTGAAGAAGCATCAGTAAAAATGCATAAAAAAATGAAAGTACATGTATTTCGAAAGGCACAGTTTTAAGTTTACTCCCTTTTTTCTTGAACCATTTACTAATTTTTTTCTTTTAAATCAATGTAATAAAATAGAAACCCATTTTTGAAATGAACCCCGCAAAGTGCTTTCAGAAGAATTGGTAGGTTTCCAAAGTAAACTTTAATTATTTAAAAAATGACCTTATGCATTCCAAAATTATATATATCCTTTATATTGCACAAGCAGGATTTGATGTTCTGCTATGACATACATCTATACATTAAATTGTTATTAATCAAAATCAAAATGCACTCTAGCATGGCTTTTGAACAGCAAATTAAACCTTTGGTAAACATATACTACTTCACATACAATGGCATTGTTACACTGATTAAATTTGTCTCGTGGATGTTTAATTCTTCCTATCCAAGTGGCACTTATTTGTTTTCTTATTTATTCATTCACCCATTTTAAAAAGCTGTTCATTGGCGTCCGTGAATCTCTGCTCTGGTGATAGCATAAGTAAACACGAAATTAAAAGTGTGTAAATTTCGCTACTCGTCCAATTACCCAATGAAATGGACTAGGTGTGATTTCTGTAGACTTTTAAGCCAAGGATTATAGGTTCCATTGTAAATTTTTATGCTTGCATAATTGTAAGTGAGATTTAAATATATCTATTGGAACTCCACAGAAGTTCATGTTTTCAATACAGTGGTGATATTAGGCAGGGGAGATTGAAATGTATAGAATGTCACACGGGGTCTCAAATACACAATTTTCTTTGTCAAAAATTGGATAGAAGGTTGATTTTTTATGGTGAATTGGACGTACATATTCTACTATATTTTCCTTGGAGATTTACTCTGTTGACAGTGAAAAATTTACGAAATGGAGCTTATTTCTCCACGATATATTAGAAAGATAGGTATGAATTAAGTTTCCTTTATGGCTATACACATAAACTTGGCAATATTATAATAAAAATTGCATTCTGTGATACTGTTCATTTCAGATAATTTGTAATTTTATCTACCGGTACTCTTTGACTAAAAGGCAGTTGTATTCTTTTGGAAAGTTTTACCCTGAAATATTCATTTTTTGGAAAAGTCTGAATAGAAGTTCATTTCTTCAAGTGAACAAATATTCAGCAAATAGCATGTTAAGGTGGTATATCTATTTACCTATGATAATCATGTTTGATGCACACATTAATGCATATATAACTCAATGTTTCCTTTATTTTTAGCTGAGGAGAGAACAAATGCTCCAAGTGATTTGGACTCGCTCAGTGCTCAGCAAGTGGATGAAAAGTTCAAAGAAATCATGAGGAAGAAAAGAGGTACATATATACTGATATTCACTCATCCATTAATTTATAATACCTAGTACATGTATATGTTATGAGCATCATGGACTGGAGATCTCCAAAATCACATTTAACAAAGTAAGATCAAATATGCACTGATCAATGTTCTGGTATCAGTCTCTTTCTCAATATGTATCTAATGATGTAATTTCTCATTTTATCATTTGAAATTGAAGTTAATTCAAAAAGGAGCTGTATTAAGCACACAGTAAGCATTTTCAAGATAAGAGCATTGATCTATATAGGTATTTGGCTTGGCTGTCTTTTTGATGTTTATATGTAAAGAATAAATAACTGTATCTACATTTGGCTTATACAAGATTAGTCAAAGGGATGTCAGCTCACATTTTACCGACACATGTAAATACATGCATTGTTTCTAAGTTTTACTTAAAGTAATTTTTGGGAAGGGCAGGATTTTTCCTAAGAATGTTTATGTACTCAGTATCTTCATATCAGTGTCTTGTTTTGTTTTTCTCTGAGAATGCAAGATCTCAAGGACTACATTTGAAAAATTTTGGATGCATGTGCTTAAATTTTTGAGTAAGAACTCTTGAGTTCCAAATCTTTTCAGATTTGGTTTACCACAAATCTGAAAATGTTCTACTTCTATAGAAATAAAGTCTTACACCTTAAGGGGGTTCTAATTAGAAATGTGTCAGATTGTTTACCTTATTCGGTGTATACATGAGAACACACTAACTTGTAACAGGAATAATCCTGTGGTCTTGGACACTGCCAGATCAGATAGGGCCAGGACTTTTTAAAAATGCATGTTTAAACATTCTTCACTTAGTCCTGTCTGCATTTAAATTTTGAAAGATAATCTGATTTCGGACAATACATAAGTATGTTTGGATAGTTAAAAAAAATCTAAAGAGGGTCCTGCAGGAACTCTCAAATTACATGTATGTTTAATTTTTGGTCAGTGTTTGATTGAATTTAGAGCAATGTTGAAAAAAGGAAGGAAAAAGCTTATTTGATGGGTTCAACTATGCATACAAGCCTCATTGTATTTTTGAATGGATTTAAATAATCAGTATTTCCATCCCTTGGTAGACCTTCTATTTAAGGCATTGCCCTGAGAGTATGTTTGACTTTTGACACAGACTACAATCTGATTTAGTATGATTTAAATGGAGATTTACGATAATGGTCAAAAAATATGTAGACTTATATCACCCTTTTGTGATGGACTTAACTTTGACAGACCAGTATTTAGTGTGGTCAATCTGGTAGACTTAACACATCTTTTTCTTACTGTTGATATTTAATTTGTTGAATGATTAGCCTTGAATGCAAATTGATATTCTCATGATGCTGTCTTGTTTCACACCTGTTCGCTTATCTAGTGGTTGTCTACTATAAAAAATACAGAAACTATAAAAAACAACATTCATTATTATAAAATGTTAAAGAAATTATAAATAAGCCATATACTTGTATAAAATGAGCTCTGTGACTTTTGTTTAGAGGTCACAGAAAAAGTAGGGGGGGATTCTGTTCACTGTCTGTCATATGATGGGTATTTGAATTTATATGAATTGTATATACATTGTGTGAACAATAGGTTATGTGAGGGAGGTACTGCATTCCTACCTGCCGTGTCTTTGTTGCACCTAGAAGCACAGGGCAAGGACAAGGGATTTTCTCTTTCCTCTATTACTAACTATATTCTTTCCACCTCTAAGAAATCTGTACATATCACTACCTGCAGATTCTACAAAAATTGTGATTATGAGAAATTGCCATATATTGGGTATTTTCTGTGATCTTTCAGAGATCAAATCAAAAAAATATCCAGCCTACAGGAAATACCCTAGTACCTATTATAGGTTATGACCTAGTGGAAAAAGTATGTTAAGTACAGTGAATAGATGCTTAGATATACCATATGACATATATTTAGTTTACTATCAGAAGATCATGTTGAGAAGGTATATGAATATGATATACAGATCAACAGGTTGAATGGGTACCAGTATATTGCAATTTATTTTTTTTTTCAAATTGATTTAGACTCAAAGGTCAAGGTCAACAGGTCAAAAATATTTATACCCCAGGAAGGTCTAATCACAAAAAATAGGCACGTTAAGTTTGAAAGCCCTAGCTCTGACTGTTCAAAAGTCATGGCCAAAGTTAAAGTTTTGTAAAATTTTTACAAATTAAAGTGGAAAGGACTCCATTCAGGGTCATATCCAGTGTACACATGTATGCTGGAAGCCAAAGAGAGGTTTTGTCATACGTACTACACATTGAAATTTGACAGCTATATCTCAAACCATTCTAAACTTATGGGCAAGGTTAAAGTTTTAGCAGACAAACAGACAGATTGAGGGACAAAGCAAAAACCATTTCCCACGTCTTTGATGAAGAGATCTTAAAATTAAAATTTCAAAAAAAAAAAAAAAAAGAAAACTTAGGCCAAAAAAATTAATCAATAGTTTCTCAGGCCAAAAAAATCAGAATTCACTAGGGCTGGATCAATATATCGGTAATCGGTATATATCGATATTTTTCAGCAATACGATAACCGATACAGAGATGCTTGTGTATTGCTCGATTATTTCAACGTTTAATTAAGAGAAAGAAAAACGTGAAAGTGACTAATATTACGAACGACTTATCTAAAATCGGTTAAACGCATGTAAACATGTCAAAAGTGTAGGGTCGCTACGTTAAAGTCAGCAGCAAAAAGGCAAAATGTAATTATATTTGTCAACAAGAAGTTGCAAGTTCTGGCGGAACAACGAGCCTATATATTATTACCAATCTCAGACGGCATCGCAACATTGACCTGTTTGCTACTGTGAAACTTGGAGGCAATTCCGGTAGGTAAAATGGCGCGTCGAAAAAAAAAGTCATAGAATGTAAACCGATATTGCGATAATAAGATATCAATAAGAATTTTTAAGTCATAGTTTATTTTAACTTTGGTGAAATATTTTATCTGCCATTACTTCCACTAATACGACGTCAAGTGAAGTATCAACACAGTCAAACAGGTCAATGTTGTGATGTGGTCTGTGGCTTCAGAACGTGTATTTACATGTAGCACCAGTGCCACTGTATTTACATGCACAAGGGCTTGTCTGAAACCTGAATGGATTGATGCCTTGATTTTTCTGAAGAAAAATATTGGCAAATAACATTAATCTGTCATACATTGTCCATTCAAAGAGAATAAAAAAGAAACAAGGATTTAAAATGTTTTATTATTGTAAATTTATGCTTTTAATAATAAAAAAAACACTATCACCTCTTAAAAAAAACATGCAAAGAATAGTGTATTCTCATTTGTCTGTATCGGCAATATGTATTGCATATCGCACCTCTGTTTTGCAATATGTATTGTATCGAAAAATTTCTCTCAATACCCAGCCCTAGAATTCAATGCGGCAGGCAAGTTTTTTTTTTTTTTTTTTTTGAAGCAGGTTTAACAACTTTTCAACATGTTTGATAAAGGCATTTGTTCAATAAAATGAAAATATCTAATTTTTGTTCTCTGAAATTGGTTGTAAAATGTATTCAACTTTATATAATGTTACTCCAAACATTTAATTAAAAGTTGATTAATATAATACTGACAAATTAGAAGAAATGTATTGTTTTTCTAATATAAACGCTTATCTTAGCATTTATGAAAAGGAGAATAACTCGATTTTCTTTTTCAACTTTGAAAAATAGAAAATTGAGTTATCTCTCTTTTCAATATGTCAATAAAATTGATCAATGCGGCCGTTTTTGAACTGATGCGGCAGTGCCTGAGAAACTATTGATTAATTTTTTTTGGCCTTACAGAAAAACAAAAATTATCATGTTAACTGTGCTGATAAAAGCCTGCTTGAATTTTGGATGTGTATTGTTTGAAATTTCTTTTGACCATTATATTTGATATTTATCAGGGAATTATCTGGACAACTTGAGAGCCAGTTACCCTCAGAGTGACACAGACACCATCAGGACTGAGGACTTTGAGAAGACTTTCAGGAATGCCATGGTGTATAACTCTGGTAAGTCATTTGGAAGGATGAGTTGTCTTTCTTTTACTAGTATATCAAAACATAAAAATAAATAAAACTTAATATTAAGATAATATTTTAAAAAGAAGAATATTTAAGCAAATATGGAAGATTAATTTATTGATAACTGGGATATTAAGGTAAGTAGAATTATAATGTTTTAGTCAATTAAGATGCATATCTATGTAAACTGTACATATATACTCACAATAGCATTAAGTAAATGTAATGGTCTTTTAACAGTCATTGGGAATGTTTCTTGTGACCTTTTCTCTTATATATTATATACTTGCATGCTTTCTTTATGTTAAGCATGAAACCAACAACTTCTGTTTTATTGTCTCTTTTGTTTATCATCATTCATTACTTTCGGTCATTTTTTTTAGAAGTCAAGCTCAGAATTAAATGTTTTGTATATTTTACACAGTTTGTGGAATGTGAACTATTTATTGATTGATCAATGTTTGCAAAATAATCAAGATATGAAATTACTTACATGTATAGGGATTTTTTTGAAGTGTCATTTATATGATATTTTGATATGTATGATACAATCAGCTGTTTGTTTCATCTATGTGGGTGTCATGGTCTGACTCTATGGAGACTGCATGCTTTCTTGTTCTATCTCTCTGAATTATATCAATGTCAACTCCTACAATATAATCCTAATCCAAACTCACAGACTTCTATGTATACCTGTATAAACCCTCAGTAATATATAACCTGTACTTATATTTAGACATTATAATATAATAATGAGGATACTTGTAATACATTTAAATGCAGTAAGCAAAATGCATAACAAACTAACAGTAGGATACGTAGTTGCAGCAGTAACTAAAAGACAAAACAAGAGGCCCAGGGGCCACAGCGCTCACCTGAGCACATCAGGCTTAAATTTACTCCACCCCCCCCCCCCTCCAGGCGTTCATCATTTGAACAAACTAAATCTACACTACCTGAGGATGATTTCTATATAAATATCACAAGTCATAGCTTTGAAGTACTTGAAAAGAAGATTTTAAAAGGTTTCCCTATATATCCCTATGTAAAACTTGGGTCAGCTATTTTGGCCCCACCCTAGCCCCGGGGGTCATGATTTGAACAAACTTGAATCTACACTACCTGAGGGTAATTCCACATGAGTTTCATCTCTCCTGAACCAGTGGTTCTTGAGAAGAAGATTTTTAAAGATTTTTCCTATATATTTCTATGTAAAACTTGGGACGACCATTTTGGCCCCACCCTTGCCCCAGGGGTCATGATTTGAATAAACTTGAATCTACACTACCTGAGGATGATTCCACATGAGTTTCATCTTTCCTGGCCCAGTGGTTCTGGAGAAAAAGATTTTTAAAGATTTTTCCTATATATTCCTATGTAAAACTTGGGTCAGCCATTTTGGCCCCACCTTTGCCCCGGGGGGTCATGATTTAAACAAACTTGAATCCACACTACCTGAGGATGATTCCACATGAGTTTCATCTTTCCTAGCCCAGTGGTACTGGAGAAGAAGATTTTTAAAGATTTTTCCTATATATTCCTATGTAAAACTTGGGTCTGCCATTTTGGCCCCACCCTTGCCCGGGGGGTCATGATTTGAACAAACTTGAATCTAAACTACCTGAGGATGCTTCCACATGAGTTTCATCTTTCCTGGCCCAGCGGTTCTGGAGAAGAAGATTTTTTAAAAATGCCATAAATTTTTCACAAATTCATAATTATCTCCCCTTGGAAGGGGGCGTGGCCCTTCAATTGAACAAACTCGATTCCCCTTCACCCAAGGATACTTTGTGCCAAGTTTGGTTGAAATTGGCCTAGTGGTTCTTGAGAAGAAGATGAAAATGTGAAAAGTTTACGCCGACGACAACGACAACGACGACGACGACAGACGACGGACAAATTTTGATCAGAAAAGCTCACTTGAGCCTTCGGCTCAGGTGAGCTAAAAAGTGTCAGATTTCAAATGTTCATGGCTCATGTTTTCTAGGAAAATTTTGATTTTTAATGATAAATAATGTTCCTTGAAAATGTTTTTCTGTAAATTTAATTTTTAAAAAAAAATATTTAATCTGTTATGTTTGATTTCAAATACTAAACAGCTGTTTATCTTTATACAGTATAAAAAAAAAACTTATAATCATGTATCAAGGATTTTATCAAAATAATCAAAACTAAAAAGAAAAAATAACAAAATATTCCTAATTGAAATTACTATAACTGATGATTAATGTTGGAAGTTTCCCGCTGCAGATGATTCATCAACTCTGGTACTGTCTGATGAGGACAGATTGGATGATTCTTTTGATGAAAGTTTACCTCCACCCCCGAGTTGTGTTGTTGATCCACCCCCTAATACAGGTGTGCTGTGATTACATTAACATCAGCTGTCTTACCCTAGCTCTGACCCTTGTACTGTAATATTGTGTTTGGTGTATTACAATTATTTTATAATAGATTGCAAGGTTTTAACTCATGAGTGTATGCTAAATCAGTGTTCAACAAATCACTCAATACATGTAATAGAACCATGAAGATTGACAATGTACATGTACCTTAGTATTTTTATGTTCAGATTTCTTTGGTGTGACTTGAACCATGTGGTCAGCAAGATTTTGAAGTTTTTTTTAAAAGATTTCATTTACATGACACTTTGCCTTTCCTTGTCATTAGAGTATGTGACAGTATTTGAATTTAATGAAAACAGAGTATGGATTTATGATTCTAGAAGTCATTGCAGATGCATGAGGACATGATAAGCATATATATGGTAACTTTTAATTGAGGTGTATAAAATATTACCAGTAATTTATTGGTAGTGAGTTGACTGCACAGTTTTGTATATAATTTGTTTACCACCACAAAGTAGTCCACATGACCTATAAAACTTTGACACTGATCTTTTCACCATTATCAGCCATTCTTTTTATCAAACTTTCTTCACATCCAGACACTTTAAACATTTTCTCCTTCATTTGGATTTTTTCTTGGGACTAATATTAAGGTGCTTGGTTGGATATATAGGAAGGGTAACTCTGTATATGGGTGCAGTAAATATTCTTTCAGTACATGTATAACCTTTTCTGTAGGTTCCAGATTATCTGCTGTGGCAGAGGAGCCTGATTCTACAACGAAACCGAAACTTAGTTTACAAACTAAAACACTAGGTAACATTAATACTTACCTTTAATATTTATTTTATGTCTATATATAAAGACTTTTCTGAACTGAATTCTTTTTTTCTGAATCTTGCGTTTTTTCTGATTTATGATTGTATTTGTACTTCCAGCTGCGGCACACCCAGCAGTCCCAGTTGTGCCCCAGACAGAGAGATCGAGTCGCAGTAGAAAGAGACGCACCCCCCAGGCCAGTGATGCTGAATCGGTTAAAACTGAGGACTTTGAAATCAGATTTCAAGTATTGATTAGCAGTTTTAGTTTTCAATGAAAATGAATTTTTCACAAGTATCTGTTAAAATCTCTGATAAAGTGTATGTATTCTTAATTGTTTTCCTATTTTAACTGTAGTGTGAGAATTTTATCTTCTTTAATTAAATGGCAAGAAAAATTAATATTACAATGTATGTTTTATAAAATTGATTTATTTCAAATGTATGGATAATTTACTAAACAGCATTTTTCTAAAAAAAGAAAAAAAGGAAGAGTTTTGTCAATAAAGTATATGTAACTCATATTACTTTTTTTTTTAAGGATTTGATGGTACAGCCCACACAGAATGGCAGGGACTCGGGGCAGGACAGTGAACCTGTGGACCCTCTTCACAGAAAAGTCAGGGAAATACTCAGGGTCTCCGCCCCCTGTAAGTCTCTGAAAACTTTTTATTATAAGAATTAAATTTTCTTTGTGGAATGTACATATCACCAATAAATGTGAAAGTTAACCTTATGGGTTTACCTAACAAAATAATAACATAATACAAGTATGTCAATGTTATGCAGATTTCAAAAGTTGTTCAAGTCATGGTGCAAGGATATGGGGGTACAAAGGTTTAGATAGAAGTGAATACAGTCTTTTGAAAAGTCTTCCTTTAGTTAGCAGAACAAGAGGGGGGGTCAAATTTGTACATAAAAAATTGGATTTTTGAAGTTCTCCTGCAGATTAGCAAGAATCAAATCAATCTGTTCTATAACCATTCCCATGTGGTGAGAGTTAGGGTGAAAAGATTTCATAAAGAACAGGAATGTGACATATTTCATCAATACATACATGTAAATTGAAAATAATGCAATTATTTTTATGTCTCATTACATTAATGAGAGAGAGAGAGAGAGCTGAATGACAGGTGAACATTGAGGCCCATGGGCCTCTTAACTTCTAACCTTTTCATTGTATCATGATTTTAGATATATATTGACCATTATTTAGCTCCCCTTGTATTCAGTATGTATATATATATGTTTATTCACCAATCAAGGGCCCTCGGGGGGCATGAACAAATTATTACAATATGATTACACTGATTACAATTGCATATTATAGATGTATAATGTAATATGACAAGTAATTAAGTTTGACATGGAGAAGTGCAATACCACAAGTTGTATCATCATGAAAATGTATGTGAGAAATTAGAGGACACTTAAAATATGGTAACTATAATTAGAAAATAGAATGAAATGAAAAAATATTCATCCCCTAATAAGCTGTACTTGGATTTGTTAATCATTCTTTTTTCAATGAAACATGTTACAGGTGACCTTCAGCTGTACAAGGATCTAAGTATGAGAGGTTTTCAATATTTTTGTTATTAATATTGCGTGGTTTGAAGTTACTATGGAGATATTCACGTTCCCAATCATCATCATCATGAAGTTGATTTAAACACATGCACTTTCTGTCACTTTCTAGTGGTTAGTGCGTAGAGATCACCATGCAACATATGGGTCTTCATGTGCAGATAGATGGCCAGATCAGAATTAAATTAGTCAACATAATGAAATTATTCAAACCATAACCATACCATACATTACCCAAACCATAGTTTTTCTTTGTATCAAGTATTTTAGAAGTTTGTATAATAGAGCTTCTAGAATGAAGACATGCAAGAATTATATTGATATACCGGTGGGAAGGAATTCATTTGAATCAATATATATATATCCTTTTTATCAAAAATGCCTTAAAAGTAGTTCTAGTATCTCATTTCTGTTTTGTTTGAATCTATGTCAAATAATTACCATGTATTGGATTCAATTTAATAAAAATTGCTGCAATTTGAATTTCAAATATTGTATTTTCTTTGCACAGACATTGTTATAAGGGGTAGAGTCATTATTGGTAAGATGTGTTCAAAATATGTACAGTTTTCAAAATTAACATTCACAGAGTTTTAAATTTCACTAAGACAGTTATGTCTGTGGGGTATTGAAGCGATTGACACAAGTTTAATCTTAAGTGTCTGTATATAAGAAAAGATTTAGATGTAATACGAAGGATTTTGTACAAGTTTTAAAATTACATTCAGTATGATTCTTAGAATGGAAATTAATTTCTTCATATTTTTAAACCAGAATGTGGATATTTTTCTTGACACACATTTTCCAACATGAAGGATTTTTTTCTGGTCCAAGACTTATCTTTCCCCCAAAAATGTAGATAAATATATTTCATTCTTTTCATTTATTTCATTAGTTCACCCATCATGCATCTTGGCACACTGTTGGTTTGAATTTCACAGGTTTGAAAGTCACGTCATAACATCATTTTCAGCAGTTATTTGAATGCACTTACATGTAGCAGGGAAGAAAAAATCATTTTTGTCAAATACATCTACCAAAAATGATCACTGACTCTGAAAATTAATTCAAATATGCAGTGTATAAGCTCTTAGGAGCATGTTCTAACAGAGATTAAATGCAGATAATAAATCATGGTTTTCTTGTTATTCCAGATAAAACCAAATCTAGAAATGGTTACCATAGAAATAAAGCAGAGAGCGAGGAAAGGTAAATTATTGACTGACCATACACCTGTAGGCCTAGGTTGATCTGATATTGGTATTGTTAACCATGTAGTTTACTGATTAGTTTCTATACCTGTCTTCTTTATTGGAGGCAATCTAGTCAGGAAGCAAAACATTTTATTTTTCCTGTTGTTTTCTGATATACTCTAATGCTTTTTGCATTTGGTGTGATTTATTACATTTTAACACTGTCACAATCCTGAAGGATTCTTAATTATTAAGTCTTCTTTCTCTCTTTTTGTCTGTCTGTCTGTCTGTCTCTCTCTTCATGTTTTGTAAATTATTTTGTTTAGTGTATGTAAATTGAAAAAATTTTGTAGTTATATAAAAAAAAAAAAAAAAAATCTTAAAAAGCTTACAAAATTGCAAAAAAAAATTAAAAATATAACATAGAAATTTAATTGCTGCCTTTGATGAACAAATTTAATTTTTTTTTTATTGAACCATAAAATTCTACTAGTATATGATTTCCAGAGAAACTATACAAGACATTCAGGACATACTATTGTATTAGTAGATATTTTAATGATACATCTAAACTATTTTTAGCTCACCTGCACTGAAGGCTCAGTAGAGCTTTTCTGATCACCCCCTGTCTGTCTGTAAACTTCTCACCATTTTAAATTGCTTCTCAAGAACCATCAGGAAATTGATTTTAATCAATTTTGGTGCATAGCATTCCCGAGGAGTAAAGGGGATTCTACACTGTTTAAATGCAGGGCCAAGCCCCTTGCTGAAAGTGTGGTAGCTTCATGAGGTAGTGTAGATTCTTAATAATTTAGATTTGTCTTTCCCTGGGTAGAATTCACAGTGATCTCACTTCAAAATGAAGTTCCAAGACATTTATTTGGGTTGTTCATGACAGATTTGCTTACATTTTTTTCAACCTATCAAAATGTGCATTTTAAAGGGTGTGTCATTGTGAATGTAAACATGGGACTAATGTCCTTTATCAGCCTTTGGTTGAGTATTTTTTTTATAACTTTGTTTTCCAACTTTAAACAGTTCTTAAACTGTAGAAATATAATTATGCTGTCTTGTTACGCAACACTTTACAGTAAAACATGGTTACAGTGAACAGGTTTATAGCAAATGGACACTTACAACGAACTGATTTTTCATTCTCTGTGCCATCAAAATATAAACTTATCAGATATAACAAAATTATGCTTATAACAAAGCAAAATCATCCATCCCTGATACTTATAACTTGTTTTACTGTATTTAAAGAGTGTTTGTATTTGATGGATACAGAAACTAAAATGCCTATAGTGTGAATTTATAAAACTCCAGAATATTTCATATATCTTTTCACTAATGTATTTTGAGATATCACGAAAGTGTCATGTATAATGAACTAAAAAAAAAAAAATAGGAACTGTAATTCTAATGCTACATGATGATCCTGTTGGGGAAATTTGATACTTTAGCAACTGTGAAGAGATAGACAATACATAACTTGTTAAGGAATATTGAACAGAAAATTTTACCTGAAAAACGATGATGGAAAATTAGCAAAACCACCTCTATTTATTAGACAAAGATATCTGTTAATGGTGACATTTCTATATGGCCTTGTTATGTTTGCTTGCTGCTGATCCAATTTATTGAACTGTTTTATGGTTTGAAAAAAAAAATGGGTGTGATAACCAAGGGAGAGCCGGTAATTTATTATCAAAATGCGTGGATTACTTTCATGTTATAATATTAACCACTGAAGATGGAAGAAGTTGAAGAATGGACATGGCTTTTTGTTATCCATGGTAAGTCATTCTATGAGTATTTTATTCACTGTGGAAATGTCAGATTAGATTTCTTTATATCATTAAAAAAAATCACCATGGACATTAATCAGCTCTTCTATAATTGGTCAGAGTATATCTGTCTGTGCAGGTAACATATTGTGATGGAGAGAAATATTTCATAATTAATCTCTGGTGGGTTTTTCAAAGAAAGTTGCTTTAATTATTTTATACAATTATTCTTGGCATACAGTTGTTCAAGCAATTTAGATTAAAAATTCAAAAACTATTTTGCTTAAAATACACTTAAAAATCTGTGCTAATTTTAATTCAATTTTAAGTCGTTTTCTTTAAATCAATTAATTTCATGAGATAATAAATGAAAGATAATAAAGAACATTTTCTCCCACAGCAAATCATTTTATCAAATCAAAAATTTTAAATTTTTAAATAAACAACTTTTGAATGACACAAGAGCTTTCTGGACGATTATAATGCATTGTTTTACATGTGTATTTTTCAAAATTAGGCCATTCTAATTTTTTTTCTCTGTAATATGCTTCAATCTATCTTTCAAAAGCCTACCTACCTATTTGAAAGAACACAGCCAAAAAATGAAACATAGACTTAAAATTCATAAATATGACAACATTCAAATTTCATTAATCTGTTTTTCGACAAAGGGAGATCAGTTCTATAGGAAAATCAATGTATTAAGCGATTAAAGTACAGCTAATATGACATATATTGTACACAAATAGTTAAAGAAATGGACAAAAGATTTTGAACAAATTAAGTAATTTTAGGACTCCTGTTTTGGTTTTTTGTTTTTTTTTTCTGATATGGGATGTCAAAAACCAAGGTGCACACAGACACTAAACATAGATAAAACTTGGATTGGCCTAAAGCTGTCATATGATATCGTTTTCATGTTAACAGTCATTACATCACAAAGGTTTAATGTAAAAGTGATGAAGAGAAATAAAGTGGATTCACATGTAAAAACAATGTAAAACATATTAATATTAATTTTGTGTTTTCATCTCTTTGCCAAGGCTAATAGATAGAAATGAGCTTTGAGCCCTGGCAAGGAGATAAAAACAAAACTACACATGAAAATCATATCTATCCAACCACAACCCATAAGATGATTGGAGACACTATATTCATCAAATCTTGTGAAATTCAGGAGACTGTATTCTAATTTAGACTTACTTTTGACTTCATATGTCAGATAAATCCAGGGTAGTAAATGCTTCATCACATGTAACACAGCAGGTAGGCAAGGCTTTATTTAAAAAATTCAAAGCATAAACTCTTTGTTTTCAATCAATACAGATTTATTTCCATTTAAAAAAAAATTATGACAGTATTTCCTGCCATTGTTTGAAATCAGACAAATTCGTGACATATCATGCTGTGTCTATGTTCTTCATGTCAGCTTCTGAGGGGACTACCATATTAAATTGTAGGTTACGTTTCTACTATTGGTTAACTCTTTTGTGCGTTAAAGGTATTAAAGCGACAAGCTCATGCACTTGTCCATCTTGATTTTCCTAGTTATCATCCTTTTATTTGTGTTTTCAACCTTCGATGGTGGTTTCAGTAATATTCATGTGATTGATTTATAACAATTTATGGAAGCTGGAGCTGTATAGTTTGAACAAGTTTTTGGCAATTCTTTTTTTCTGGCCATGAAAAGCTGTGGAAATATGAGGTATAGCTGTAAAATTTACTGTTTTAATATTTTAAAAGCATCAGTGGAATTTCCTTCAAATTAACTCAATAAAATGAAATTTTGAAAAGTTGATATAATATGCTTTTAATTAATATTATGTTATTAAATCATACATATTGTGTTTAGTTTAAAGGTTATATTATACATCATTTTATTTCTTGAACTCATTCACGTGATTTCTGGGTCGTTATTAGTTCATACCATGGTAAAATTATAATCTAACATGTCATTCCTCTGGCTTTTGACGTATATATATCTTCCTGGTAACTCTACGTTAGCATGCATCATTGATTTGTGGAGGCTGTACGTGCTACTATAGTTTGAGTACGGGAGTAATTAAGAGTCTATATAGACTGATGCAGTAGCTAAGCAGTTATACAGAAATTCACATTTTCTGTGTTTGTGCTTTTATTTCATTTCAAAACATCATGTTCACCCAGCAGTCACAAGCTAAACTATGGATGTTAGCGCAGTAAGTCTTAGACTTGGCTGATAAGTGTAGGTTTTCTAATGAAAGAATTATCTATATTCAACCATATTTTCTGCCTTATGGATAAGTTTTTATATATTTTTGTTATATCCTACTGTGAATTACCTATCATAAATACTTTAAATCTCTTTTCAGAAGACAGAAGTATATTTATGGATTGAAATCAACACTGTCAGAAAAGAAGTCAACTCTGTCAGAAAAGAAATGCAGTGATCTAAAAGACATAGATGTTCCAGCCAGACCAAGACTGTATGGATGTTCCCTGGAATACAATGAAGAGAAGGAACTAGACTTCCTACAGAAACACTTGGAATCCAATATGTCTTCTTCAAGCAGTGCAGGGACTGGTACATCCTCTCTCTCCAGTGGGTATACATTTAACTCAGGGAGAGGTACCCCAGAGAGACCCTTATCGGAATCTAGAACAACCTCGGTCTCGAGTCTGAGAAGTGACTTATCGGAACTTACAGCAAGTCCTGCTGCCTCACCTCAAATCAGGCTCCGTAATCCATTTCTAGAAAAGATACTAGTTGACTCAGCCACGCTGCAGGGCATGAATCTGATGACCACTGTCCAAGATGGCCCCTGGAAGAAACAACCTTGGGACAGACAGATAGAACCAAAGAAAAATTTTAACACTTCTAAATCAAAATCCAAGATGCGAGATTTAATTCTACCTGAAGAGGATCAAGATGAATACCCGTTTGCAAAATATACCTTTAACAAGAAGCCTGGAAAGATGACCAGTAGTAGCTCGGAGATTTCTATTGGATCTAAAGATTCAAGTCTCAGTCCATGGGACTCGCCAAATTCAGGAAGACACAATTTTTACAATAGGCATGGATCATCAACAAGCTCACAACTGAGTGAGGACTATTCTAGCCCTGAGACGGGTACCAGCAGTGGGTCTTTTAACACCAGTTTTTCTTCCAAACAGTCTAACTTTGGAACTTATCCCTCTTCACCCGACGTATGTTATTCAACCCCTGTCTATCCACAGTCATTCCAATCTT